TATATATCGTATTTGGACGACAAAATCTGGTCTTTTGCTTTACCATTTGGTACTCGAAGAACGAACACTATAGTGATTGTTGGTATAAGATCTTGCGTTAGCATAATCCGTACAACTCGCGAACGTCGATACCTTCAATCCCTAAACCCTAAAGGAATTACGTAATAGATCCGATTTAGTTATTTTGACACCTGACAATGGATCTGGTGTAGTTGTAATGGACAGAAGCGATTACAAAACAAAAATGTTCTCAATCCTTAATGACAAAAGCAAATTCATAGCCGATGTTCCTTCTGATGATATCAGAGAATTGGTAGGAAAAGTAACTTCTCGCTTAGTAGAACTTCGTGGAATGGTCGTTATCGATAAACAGGAGTTTAATTCCTTGAAGCCCATGGTATCTGACTACCCAAACCTCTGTGGTTTACCCAAGATTCATAAGGTTGATAATCCGTTACGTCCAATTCTATTAATGTGTCACTCTCCTACACATAAATTAGCAAAATGGTTAGCTGATATTTTAAGTCCAGTACGCAATGAATTATGTAAGTCTACTTTGAAAGATACATTTTAACTTGTTGACTGTCTTGTAGATATGAACATGAAAGATGGGGAAATGTATTCACTTGATGTTAATTCTTTGTTTACTAATGTACCATTGGTTAAGACTGTTGATATTCTTTGTGACTATATATCTTCTAGTTGTTTTTCATTTCCCTTTCCTTTGCCTTATTTGAAAGACTTATTACTATTATGTACTGACAACGTCCATTTCACGTTTAAAGGTGAACATTTTCGACAAGTGGATGGCATTGTTATGGGAAGTCGATTAGGACCTTTGTTAGCGGACGTTTGCATGTCTTATGTTGAAAACTTGTCCCTTGATTTAATTTCTAAAGTGCCCTCCTTCTATGGGACATATGTGGATGATATAATTTTGATATGCGACGATCATGAAGATGCGAGTCGTCTATTAGATAGACTTAACTTTGTACAGAATCATATTAGTTTTACATGCGAGGCAGAAAGTCGCGACCAGCTTGCATTTTTAGACATACTTCTGAGTCGAAGAGATGATGGTTCAATAAGACGATCAATCTACAGAAAGCCCACTTGGACAGGGCAATATCTAAATTTTCATAGTTTCTGTCCATTATAGTATAAAGGAGGCTTTGTGAAATGTCTATTTGAGAGGACTCAACGTATTTGCACCGCTGATGTTATGGACAGAGAAAACGAAATATTAATGGATTCTCTTGTTGAAAACGGATATATCTGCTGATCTTTCCTGGTCGTCGCATATCTTGATGATTTCTAAGAAAATATTCCGTCTTACCTTCTACATCAAGAAGTTAAGTCATTCTGGATTAACCCAACCCGTACTGTCACAATTCGTTAACCAGCTTGTCAATATTCTGGTTGACAGGCACTTGGACTCATGTGAAAAATGGACTAAATCCATTTTATCTATCTCACACCACCGTCTTCATTCACAACTCTCCCCATGTGTCTCATCATGCAGAACCAGAAACCTATGCAGAAAACTATATGCTCGCACTAGCAAGTACAAAATCTCAACCATGCCCTACTTGGCTCGTGTTCTGTGCGATCAAGAAAGCATTAAGCGTGATACCTATAACTTATTAAATAGTCAGTAGAACAACTGGATCTCGTCTTTCCAACTCATATCGTTTATCGGCACAACGTTTCCTTTCTTTCTTTTCCTTTTTTATGTGCTGTTTTGTTTCTCTCTTCCTTACAAACTCTACTTGAAACATTCTTCTTCGTTCTTTCACACTCTGTATATCTCCACCTTTTTGTTACCGCTTACGCCAGTAAATATGCTAGCGTCTTCTTTATTAACACCTTCAAACACTGTTCAATTTTGCCTTTGCTACCGACATGCCCTCAAGTGGAACCCGAAAGGGAAGCGGCGAGTGGGACGTCCAAGGGTGACATGGAGGATACCGTGCGAAGAGGAATTGAAACAGTATGGATTAACATGGACGCAGGTGTAAAGTCCAGCAGAAGAGAGAAGCAAGTGGAGATGTGTAGTTGAAGATCAATGTTCCACTAGGAACCCAAGGGAACAATAATAATATAGTAATACCGACATGCCAATACGTTGTTTTCAAAACTAACTGAAATTAGTCTTAATCTATGTAGAATTTTATTTATTGTTAATGTACTAACTGGATGCAATACTGTAGCGAAATGCTGAGAATTCCATTCTGTATCACAAGTACTGTTTTGAGATAAAGCAAATTATTATTATTATTAAAATATGTAAACAGGTGTAGAAGTCAATTAGTCTCTGAACATACAATCTATACCGCCCCTAAGAAAAATGTCTTCACCAAATTACCGTATAACGGGGAAATAAACGGAAGGATTTTGAGACAAGGTTGAATTCGATCATCCGTAGAACCTACTATGCAGCCAGGCTTGTAATTGTCGAAAAAGCTAAAATATGCTCCACTGCAAACCTCAAAAGTGCACAAGTGATCCCACCTCCATCACGCGCTTTGTGCGTCGGTGGCACAGTGGTTAGGACACTGGGTACGGGTTCGATTCCCTGCCGATGCACACCTGATATCTATGGTCTGCCTGCAAAATCTGGGCTGCCGATATCACATGCTGAAAATTCCATACCTGTACCGAAAAATACGGTGTGGAATCAAGCTGTAATCAAAACTCACACAAAAATAAAAAATGTTACATCCCACACTATTCGCCAATTTTGTGTGTGTGTGTGTGGTCACACATACATAGGGAGGAGTAATCGCGCGTTGCACGTGAGGGTGGGAGAGCATATCCCAAAGTGGTTAGGAAAACAGATGAATTGTGACAAGCCCATAGATGCAGGTGTCAGAATACCAACTTCATCTATAGCTAAACATTTAATCGAGATGATGTTAACTCAGCCTTTAAGGTCATCTATAAAAACGGTCAAGGACGTTTACTGAAATACGCTGAGGCTATAGCCATTCATAAACTTAAGCCCCCCTTGTGTATTCAAAAACAGTTTGTTATTACTCTTAACCTACCTTGGTAATCCTTATTTGATTGGATTACCAAACGTTGTGTTAATCATTCTTAAATGGTTCTTTTTGTCACTTAGTTTAATTTAACGTTTTTATATATATATCGTCTTGACAAGTAAATGTGTGATCAGATTGTTCGAAATGTATAACGCAAATACACATCACATCGTTTTTCAGATAATCTCCGTCTTCTAATAATGCTATCCAAATATATAAGAGGGACTAATTGTTTTAAATTTTTGAAAAGAAGACTCCCTCCATGCACTATCAAACGGTTAGATGGACGTCTTAACCTGAAGTGTAAAGTAGCATCTGAAAAGGTAAAATTGGATTTTTATTATAAATCTTGCCTTTTTACAAGTGACACATTCCCGAAAGTATTTTACAAATCCCTTCCATCTTTCAAGTATTATTCGCCTTACGAAATCTCACATTGACGATTCTAATGGGAATTTATGTGGACTAATTGAACTCGATTTATTGTCATGAAATATTGATTGTCTGATGTCTCCATTATTTGTCAAAGTAAGTTCATTAATTTTTGTAGCTCTGTCGTTGATAAGACGAATACTAGAGAATACTAGATTGAAATTGCTTGGATCTTGCACGTCTGACTTCCAATTAAACCAGATCCCATTAAATCCTGATAAGTATGTGACAAATCTGTCATCGGTTGAACTTTTATTACATGAAAAAGAGGTGCTGTCAATTGGTTTCAATTTCTCTATCCCATTAAACAATATTTCAGACTTAACAATTGATTCTCAGTTTGAAAATTTGTATGATCAGTTGAGTTCTCTAACAACTTCTTCGACAGATGACCGAAGTTGGTCGAAAGTTAAATGTGTAGATGTAGCACACCAATTCCGTAATTCAAGTCGGAAACAAAGAAGCATTTTAACATCAACTCATTTTAAATCCCTAAAGGAATTACGTAATAGATCCGATTTAGTTATTTTGACACCTGACAATGGATCTGGTGTAGTTGTAATGGACAGAAGCGATTACAAAACAAAAATGTTCTCAATCCTTAATGACAAAAGCAAATTCATAGCCGATGTTCCTTCTGATGATATCAGAGAATTGGTAGGAAAAGTAACTTCTCGCTTAGTAGAACTTCGTGGAATGGTCGTTATCGATAAACAGGAGTTTAATTCCTTGAAGCCCATGGTATCTGACTACCCAAACCTCTGTGGTTTACCCAAGATTCATAAGGTTGATAATCCGTTACGTCCAATTCTATTAATGTGTCACTCTCCTACACATAAATTAGCAAAATGGTTAGCTGATATTTTAAGTCCAGTACGCAATGAATTATGTAAGTCTACTTTGAAAGATACATTTTAACTTGTTGACTGTCTTGTAGATATGAACATGAAAGATGGGGAAATGTATTCACTTGATGTTAATTCTTTGTTTACTAATGTACCATTGGTTAAGACTGTTGATATTCTTTGTGACTATATATCTTCTAGTTGTTTTTCATTTCCCTTTCCTTTGCCTTATTTGAAAGACTTATTACTATTATGTACTGACAACGTCCATTTCACGTTTAAAGGTGAACATTTTCGACAAGTGGATGGCATTGTTATGGGAAGTCGATTAGGACCTTTGTTAGCGGACGTTTGCATGTCTTATGTTGAAAACTTGTCCCTTGATTTAATTTCTAAAGTGCCCTCCTTCTATGGGACATATGTGGATGATATAATTTTGATATGCGACGATCATGAAGATGCGAGTCGTCTATTAGATAGACTTAACTTTGTACAGAATCATATTAGTTTTACATGCGAGGCAGAAAGTCGCGACCAGCTTGCATTTTTAGACATACTTCTGAGTCGAAGAGATGATGGTTCAATAAGACGATCAATCTACAGAAAGCCCACTTGGACAGGGCAATATCTAAATTTTCATAGTTTCTGTCCATTATAGTATAAAGGAGGCTTTGTGAAATGTCTATTTGAGAGGACTCAACGTATTTGCACCGCTGATGTTATGGACAGAGAAAACGAAATATTAATGGATTCTCTTGTTGAAAACGGATATATCTGCTGATCTTTCCTGGTCGTCGCATATCTTGATGATTTCTAAGAAAATATTCCGTCTTACCTTCTACATCAAGAAGTTAAGTCATTCTGGATTAACCCAACCCGTACTGTCACAATTCGTTAACCAGCTTGTCAATATTCTGGTTGACAGGCACTTGGACTCATGTGAAAAATGGACTAAATCCATTTTATCTATCTCACACCACCGTCTTCATTCACAACTCTCCCCATGTGTCTCATCATGCAGAACCAGAAACCTATGCAGAAAACTATATGCTCGCACTAGCAAGTACAAAATCTCAACCATGCCCTACTTGGCTCGTGTTCTGTGCGATCAAGAAAGCATTAAGCGTGATACCTATAACTTATTAAATAGTCAGTAGAACAACTGGATCTCGTCTTTCCAACTCATATCGTTTATCGGCACAACGTTTCCTTTCTTTCTTTTCCTTTTTTATGTGCTGTTTTGTTTCTCTCTTCCTTACAAACTCTACTTGAAACATTCTTCTTCGTTCTTTCACACTCTGTATATCTCCACCTTTTTGTTACCGCTTACGACAGTAAATATGCTAGCGTCTTCTTTATTAACACCTTCAAACACTGTTCAATTTTGCCTTTGCTACCGACATGCCCTCAAGTGGAACCCGAAAGGGAAGCGGCGAGTGGGACGTCCAAGGGTGACATGGAGGATACCGTGCGAAGAGGAATTGAAACAGTATGGATTAACATGGACGCAGGTGTAAAGTCCAGCAGAAGAGAGAAGCAAGTGGAGATGTGTAGTTGAAGATCAATGTTCCACTAGGAACCCAAGGGAACAATAATAATATAGTAATACCGACATGCCAATACGTTGTTTTCAAAACTAACTGAAATTAGTCTTAATCTATGTAGAATTTTATTTATTGTTAATGTACTAACTGGATGCAATACTGTAGTGAAATGCTGAGAATTCCATTCTGTATCACAAGTACTGTTTCGAGATAAAGCAAATTATTATTATTATTAAAATATGTAAACAGGTGTAGAAGTCAATTAGTCTCTGAACATACAATCTATACCGCCCCTAAGAAAAATGTCTTCACCAAATTACCGTATAACGGGGAAATAAACGGAAGGATTTTGAGACAAGGTTGAATTCGATCATCCGTAGAACCTACTATGCAGCCAGGCTTGTAATTGTCGAAAAAGCTAAAATATGCTCCACTGCAAACCTCAAAAGTGCACAAGTGATCCCACCTCCATCACGCGCTTTGTGCGTCGGTGGCACAGTGGTTAGGACACTGGGTACGGGTTCGATTCCCTGCCGATGCACACCTGATATCTATGGTCTGCCTGCAAAATCTGGGCTGCCGATATCACATGCTGAAAATTCCATACCTGTACCGAAAAATACGGTGTGGAATCAAGCTGTAATCAAAACTCACACAAAAATAAAAAATGTTACATCCCACACTATTCGCCAATTTTGTGTGTGTGTGTGTGGTCACACATACATAGGGAGGAGTAATCGCGCGTTGCACGTGAGGGTGGGAGAGCATATCCCAAAGTGGTTAGGAAAACAGATGAATTGTGACAAGCCCATAGATGCAGGTGTCAGAATACCAACTTCATCTATAGCTAAACATTTAATCGAGATGATGTTAACTCAGCCTTTAAGGTCATCTATAAAAACGGTCAAGGACGTTTACTGAAATACGCTGAGGCTATAGCCATTCATAAACTTAAGCCCCCCTTGTGTATTCAAAAACAGTTTGTTATTACTCTTAACCTACCTTGGTAATCCTTATTTGATTGGATTACCAAACGTTGTGTTAATCATTCTTAAATGGTTCTTTTTGTCACTTAGTTTAATTTAACGTTTTTATATATATATCGTCTTGACAAGTAAATGTGTGATCAGATTGTTCGAAATGTATAACGCAAATACACATCACATCGTTTTTCAGATAATCTCCGTCTTCTAATAATGCTATCCAAATATATAAGAGGGACTAATTGTTTTAAATTTTTGAAAAGAAGACTCCCTCCATGCACTATCAAACGGTTAGATGGACGTCTTAACCTGAAGTGTAAAGTAGCATCTGAAAAGGTAAAATTGGATTTTTATTATAAATCTTGCCTTAAGTATTTGTTTTAATAGACGTAGATAGGCATCTGTTTTAATTGACGATGCGCGCGAAGGCGCAGTTGAATTTGTGGCATGGCGTGGGACGGGTGGCTGGTTTCTTACGGCCAGTCCCTGTCACTTGGAGGCCTATGGTGGCTTCCAATCTTCGCCAATGGAGTTATTTGGTAAGTTTTATTTATTTTTATTTTATTTTTATTATTAGCTTGCATGTTTAGGCCAGGTTTTAGCGTGATGTTTACTATGCTAGGGCTTTAGGGACCATACGGTCTAAGTTTGTTTAGGGATGCTTTGGCATAGGAAAGCTATATATCAATCGGTAGCTCTCGACTAGATCTATCTTTAGACAGTGGTTTCGACCCTTGTAGCTCCTCCTCAGCCCTCCCCAGGATCTTTGATATCTGGGCTTGCGCCCTCTGGGGTTATGCTGCCAAAATTATTATTATTATTATTTTTTTTTTCTAGGGAGGCTAGGACTTAGGTGAAGTTATATATCAATGGATAGCTCTCATAGCGACCTATCTTTTGACATTGGTTTCGAACTTTGTAACTTCTCCTCAGCCGAATAGGGACTTGTCTTGTCTGGGCTAGTGCCCTTAGGGGGAATGCTGCCGAAATTTTATTAGGGAGGCTAGGACCTAGGTAAGCTATATATCAATGGATAGCTCTCGACGAGATCTACCTATTGGTACCGGTTTCGCACCTTATAGCTTCTCCTCAGCCGAATAGGGAATTTTTCAAAGGCTATAGGGGAAACCTGTTTCTAGGCTCAGAGTTCATGCCGCTGGCTGTTCTCTTGACACTTTTAGCTCCGTGACCTCAGGTTGTTTGCCGTTGTGTATGTAGCTAGGGGGCATTACCAACCATAGGGCAGTAGGGGGGCAGAGACTGCTAGGAAGGAAAATTCGATTATTTTTCTTAGGAATAGCTTTTACCCTCTGATTTATATACCATTGGATTCCTCTCAACAAGACGAATCGATTGGTACCTGTCTCGTCCCGTAGGACTTACGGTTGCGGAGATATGGAAATTTAAAGTTTTACAGGTTTTCCCCATTTTTCGCCTTTTTGCCTCGCATAGCAATATATAGGGCATTTTAGCCAATGAGAATTAAGTATTTGTTTTAATAGACGTAGATAGGCATCTGTTTTAATTGACGATGCGCGCGAAGGCGCAGTTGAATTTGTGGCATGGCGTGGGACGGGTGGCTGGTTTCTTACGGCCAGTCCCTGTCACTTGGAGGCCTATGGTGGCTTCCAATCTTCGCCAATGGAGTTATTTGGTAAGTTTTATTTATTTTTATTTTATTTTTATTATTAGCTTGCATGTTTAGGCCAGGTTTTAGCGTGATGTTTACTATGCTAGGGCTTTAGGGACCATACGGTCTAAGTTTGTTTAGGGATGCTTTGGCATAGGAAAGCTATATATCAATCGGTAGCTCTCGACTAGATCTATCTTTAGACAGTGGTTTCGACCCTTGTAGCTCCTCCTCAGCCCTCCCCAGGATGTTTGATATCTGGGCTTGCGCCCTCTGGGGTTATGCTGCCAAAATTATTATTATTATTTTTTTTTTTCTAGGGAGGCTAGGACTTAGGTGAAGTTATATATCAATGGATAGCTCTCATAGCGACCTATCTTTTGACATTGGTTTCGAACTTTGTAACTTCTCCTCAGCCGAATAGGGACTTGTCTTGTCTGGGCTAGTGCCCTTAGGGGGAATGCTGCCGAAATTTTATTAGGGAGGCTAGGACCTAGGTAAGCTATATATCAATGGATAGCTCTCGACGAGATCTACCTATTGGTACCGGTTTCGCACCTTATAGCTTCTCCTCAGCCGAATAGGGAATTTTTCAAAGGCTATAGGGGAAACCTGTTTCTAGGCTCAGAGTTCATGCCGCTGGCTGTTCTCTTGACACTTTTAGCTCCGTGACCTCAGGTTGTTTGCCGTTGTGTATGTAGCTAGGGGGCATTACCAACCATAGGGCAGTAGGGGGGCAGAGACTGCTAGGAAGGAAAATTCGATTATTTTTCTTAGGAATAGCTTTTACCCTCTGATTTATATACCATTGGATTCCTCTCAACAAGACGAATCGATTGGTACCTGTCTCGTCCCGTAGGACTTACGGTTGCGGAGATATGGAAATTTAAAGTTTTACAGGTTTTCCCCATTTTTCGCCTTTTTGCCTCGCATAGCAATATATAGGGCATTTTAGCCAATGAGAATTAAGTATTTGTTTTAATAGACGTAGATAGGCATCTGTTTTAATTGACGATGCGCGCGAAGGCGCAGTTGAATTTGTGGCATGGCGTGGGACGGGTGGCTGGTTTCTTACAGCCAGTCCCTGTCACTTGGAGGCCTATGGTGGCTTCCAATCTTCGCCAATGGAGTTATTTGGTAAGTTTTATTTATTTTTATTTTATTTTTATTATTAGCTTGCATGTTTAGGCCAGGTTTTAGCGTGATGTTTACTATGCTAGGGCTTTAGGGACCATACGGTCTAAGTTTGTTTAGGGATGCTTTGGCATAGGAAAGCTATATATCAATCGGTAGCTCTCGACTAGATCTATCTTTAGACAGTGGTTTCGACCCTTGTAGCTCCTCCTCAGCCCTCCCCAGGATGTTTGATATCTGGGCTTGCGCCCTCTGGGGTTATGCTGCCAAAATTATTATTATATTATTTTTTTTTTCTAGGGAGGCTAGGACTTAGGTGAAGTTATATATCAATGGATAGCTCTCATAGCGACCTATCTTTTGACATTGGTTTCGAACTTTGTAACTTCTCCTCAGCCGAATAGGGACTTGTCTTGTCTGGGCTAGTGCCCTTAG